TATAAAAGAAAGTTTGTTTAAACTTGAATTGCATATGATACTAGTCCTAGTCCCGGACGAACCAACTATCGCTCATAACTCGGGTTGAAAAGCCTTGGGTTATGTTCGATAGGAAAATGTGTGCTTGGACGTTTAGTCTAGGGTTCTTAAATGTGTTTCTAGAACTTCAAAACGAACGGCTTAGTGCACATATGTAGCACCTTTGGTCTGGTTTCGGGTCTACGGTTGGTTGCGCATGTTCTTGTTTGATTGTTGCACGGCCAATCGGTTCAATGTTGACCTAATCCGGGTCAGGGGTGTTACACTACCGATCACAAAATTAACTCTACCACTACTACTAATAAGTCTATCACTCAAAAACAAATCTACCACTACTATAAATAAGTCTACGATTGCGTGAACCANCAATAAGTCTACCGATCACAAAATTAAATCTACCACTACTACTAATAAGTCTATCACTCAAAAATAAATCTACCACTACTATAAATAAATCTACGACTGCGCGAACCATCAATAAATCTATCGATCACAAAATTAACTCTATCACCACTAGAAATAAGTCTACCAATCACAAAATTAACTCTACCACTATGAGAAATAAGTCTACTGGCATATTATAAATTTACCACTACTATAAATAAGTCTACCATTGCGGGAACCATCAATAAGTCTACCAACTACTTAATAAATCTACCAATCGCAAATAAATCTACCATCACATGAACGGTAGACTTATTCACTGCCTCATTAATGACAGTTTCGTAAATACGTTTTTTTTTTTCAAAAGAAATAAAACTAAAACGGGTATTAATAGTTTTTCAACGTTTTTTGAATAATTTTCAAAGAATAGCATCATTTTGATGAAAAATCAACAAAGTTGTTTTAGTAAAGCTCCATATATTTTATAATGTAAGTAACACATTTATTGATATATCGCTAGCTTGTCATTCGTAAATGCATTTATGTGAAAAATAATAACAAAAAATATTGCGATACTTAATTGTAAGAA